ATGTGTAACAGGACACTTGTAGGTAGGGTATGGCATTAGGTTTGGTGAAGCCTGATTTGGAAACGGTGCTAGTGGTGCATGTATATACTACATTATGTTATATGCAGTCCTGTGAATAACTAAGTACACACTTACTGCTTCCACAGGAATTTAAAAAGGTAAAATTCGACCATACAGTGATCAGAAAAACTGCAAAAACCCAAGAGCTACATCTCAGACTCTACAGGCCTCAGTTCACTGTTAAATATTAAAGTTCATGACAGTATCATTAAGAGGCTGGGAGACTTCTGGACCACAGTTCTTTAGACAGATAAGATCAAAGTGGAGATGTTTGACAGTTACACACAGCAACATGTTTGGAAAAACCAAACACATCATGTCAGCACAAAAACCTCACAACAACTGTCATACACTGTGGTGGAGAGGTGATGATGTTCTGTAGCCACAGGACCCGGGCACCTTGCTGTCATTGAATCGACCACGAACTCCTCTGTGTACCAAAGTATTCTAAACTCAAATGTGAGGCCATCTGTCTGACAGATAAAGCTTTGATGCGTCATGCAATCATGCAGTGATTCCAAGGACGTCAGCAAATCTACAACAGAATGACTGAGAAAGAAAAGAATCAAGTCAATGTGCAGACGTCAACCCGACTGGGACAATCCGGTCGTTAACTGATGATGTGACGAATCCTACTTCCGGGCCTAAAGTAGTCTGTGTTTAATATGGCTTTTGTGTTGTTAACATGTTTAATGTTATGTATTTTCTTCTATTTAATCTCAAAAATCTCCTAAAACAGTCGGTGATCATTGTTGACCTCCCTTGGCTTTTATTACCACTAATGATTTATTTAAGCTCAATTTTTAAAACCTTATGATGTAACTACAGCCCAGCCCATGCAGCAGTATATGAATGACTAACCTCGTATTGTGGATGGATTATCTCAGTTGTTCTCCTGGCTGAAATTTGGTCCTTTTACAGCATCCTGCCATGCGATTACATTTGTTCCTGACCACCAAGAACACTCACATTAACTTTTATCGAGTGGAAAAAAAGTTAGCTTGTTTATATCATGCTAACATAGCTGTGTCGCTAGCGGTCACGTAGCACATCATTATATACCAGCTAGCCCAACTTCAGTAACCCTACAAACGTCACTGCTGTTTAGTTTTCTGCCTTCATTTGTGCTGGAAGTGATAACAGAGCTGTACGTTTTAATTTGTTTCCAAAACCCCGCAGTCAGGACATGCTATATTGTATTTAGATAGAAGCTAGCGAGCTAACTCCCTGCTAACTTCTAACTCCGTTAAATGTCATAAATTCCGTTTTCATGGATGCCTGGATGTTAAACTCAATTGTTACACCTGGTAGAGCAGAACGCTGATCATTTTATTAAAGATGAAAGACTTTAGACAGTTTTTCAACTCTCAGTAATGCCATAGTGATCGTTTGATATATGGACCTGCAGCGGAGTTTAGGCCCAGACATGGCTAGTGACGTCAGACTGAACAACCGGATAATAGCTGAATCGAACTTCTGCAGTGAGTCTGTGTATTAACCTATTCATAACTGCCACCAAGGTGCCATCACTGCTAGCATTCATGCTTGCATTTTACATGTTAATGATCACGACTGACATGACCATGACCGATAGAAACAAATACAAATGCTGGGCTCAGCTTTGTTGTTGACTTTTAAAAAATAAATAAATAAAAAATCCACTTCTTTGTGCATCTTTTCCAGGGATTTTCTTACATCCCTGAGATGTAAGAAAATCATGGGACATGGCCTGGAGACATGACCTTAGGAATAGTCCTCATTTTGACTAAATGATTCTTCTTCTTCTACCGATCCATTCAAAAACTGTGGTGAAAATGTAGCTGGAAATGCAAGGGAGGAATCGATGGTACTGAAAAGAGGAATTGCAATGTCCACATGACATGTAGATACATCTGTAGGCAGGTGCACGTCAGATTATGGTGCAGGTCACATTGTAGGGGGATTTGGGGTATAATCTAGATTTAACACCAAAATATAAAGCTCCAGTAAGAGAGCTGCGCATAAACCAATGCACCCAGACTTCAATAAACTGAAGCGACGCTGTAAAGAGAAGCTGGACAAAATTGCTCCACAACAATGCAAGAGACCGATAAACTCTTACAGAAAACGATTACTCAAGTCATCGTTGCTAAAAGTGGTTCTACAAGCTACCGAATCACAGGACATTTTTCACTTGACCGCACTGAGTCCTGTGAAATCTTTATTTTTCTCTGTGTGCCACGTAGCATTTGTCTCTGGACTTTTCTAACCACCTCTGTGTTTACAGTTTGTGTAATGCCTGGTTGCTTCACGAGAATAGAACGTGCTGAAAGTTTTGTCTCTACTTGCACCATTGTTGTTGTTTTCTTTTCTCTCTTTTTTTTTTTAACTCACCCTTGCTCGAATTTCCAGGAACCACTAGTGATATCATTTTCCATGGAAATTATATTTAAACCATAAGAAGACATTTGTGGTTGGTGATACAGCTTTAAATTATTATACAATAAGTTAGTAATAATATATAATAATTTAAAGCCTTCTAATAGGGTCACTTACATGGAGACTGAATTGCTAACATCACAGTGAGTAATTTGAGATTTTGCGTTTGTGTTCAGGATACGTGTCCCTGCTCTACTCACACCTAATATTGAGTTGATCGTGTGGTCGTGAAGCCAAGAACAGCAAACCATCAAAGTATCAAGCAGTTACACGTTATAAAAGCTAACTCCAGAGCTTGTAGAGGGTTTCTTTTAATATATATGTCTAGGCCTGAGGGAGAAATTAGGGTTGTTTGTAGGAGATGTTTCTGGAAATCATTTGGGTTGGAGACATGACTCATTTCCCATTTTTGAAATCCTGTCACTCCCATAACATTGCAGTCATTGATCAAGAGCCATATGCAGAGGGGGTCTTGTCAGGTTTGGCACTAAAATGGGTGATCTGACCACACATGGAAAGCAAACTAAACAACAGCTCCATGCAAAACCTTCCTGTTTCTGCACATTACTGTGGACCTTTTGTATTTGCTTATGATTTAGTGTATGTGTGTGTGTGTGTTTTATTAGCTGTGTCTTTGCTCGTTTGACATCAGCGTGTCTCCGATGAAAGACTGAAAGCCACTGCGCACGCCTGGGGCGGACAACAAAGGTTACCATTCCAGGTGTCTACATCAAAGCGAAGTGATGAGACACGAGGATTTATGCATCAAAGGACTTTTTAAAAATCAAAATGTTTGTTAGATGAAGCACTCAGCCTAGTTGCCCACAGTGGCAGGACTGCAGTAATCGGTGTTCCACAGCCCTGCGTAACAGTGTGTTTCTATATTGTTGTGCTGTCATAAATCATTTTCATTATTTTGTTTATAAATTGTCAAAACATACTATTAAATACCAGTAAAAAGTTATCACGCCTGAAATAATGTGTTTAAAATGCTGTCTTTGGTTTCTCTGTTGTCCATAAAAGGAAAGGAAATAATGTGGAAACAGAAAAGCAGCAAAGAAGCCCCTCTTTCTGCTCTCCTCTCTTCTGATTTGGGGTTGCCATGACCTTTCGTGGTGTGTTTGGTTTGGTTTCAAACCCCTTTGGGAGTCATCTGCTCAGCATGGAGGCCACACTCCAAACACTGATCAGATTGCCTAATCTGTTTTTAACCACGATATGGCGGATACAAAGGGCTGCTCTGTTCGCTCCTCTTTCTCTCTAAACTGGCGCCAAACCTGAACATGCCAAAACATGCCCACGGAGCGCTTAGAGTACACAGGAACTGTTTGCACACATGCGCTGCAGGCGCGAACACTTCGAGACATTATGCAGTGCATTATGACACTGATGTCTGATTTAGTCAGGTTGGGATTGAAACGGTCTTTAACCTGCCAGGTCATTTTCTCACAGCAACACAATATCCGTTATGTGTCAGTTCCAATTTAACTTCCTGGAAACCTGCAGGAAAGCTGCACGATGCAGGGAACGGTTGTGATTGGTATTTGAAGGCACTTGATTCGGGAGCACTTCCTGTTGCACTATTATAATGCTCATTTAATAGTGGGAAGCTGAACTCGTGATTAAAATGCATGGTGGAGGCTCTATCATGGTTTGCGGCTGCATTTCAGCCAGTGGTGTTTGGGATCGTGTCAAAACTCTTGAAATTAAGAATGCTGAAAAGCACCATCAGATTCTGATCCACTGTCTAATACCATCTAGAAAATGTTTGATTGGTAACAGCTTCATTTTTCAGCATGATAATGATCCCAAACGTACTGACAATGTGATAAAAACATACCTTAATAGAAAAACACGATCAGTCATAAACAGGCCTCCCCAGAGCCCGGACCTCAATATTGTTGAAGCAGTGTGGGACCATCTTAACAGAACAAAAAGCAGCCAGCGTCTAAAGAAAAGCTTTGAATGTCCTTCAAGAAGTCTAAAGAACTATTCGTGAAGACTGCTTACAAGAAACCACACCTAAGAGAGTTCAGACTTTGCTGAAGTCACATCAAATATTGACTTTTAAGCTTGTTAGAATTGTACACTGTGTTTATGCCTTATATAATGCAATTCCATGTATGTTTGCACACCCAAATCCTTTTGCACAGTACTTGAGAGTCATAGAAGATGGAGACAGAAACAGAAAGAAAGAAATCAGTTGGATTTTAGCTTGAATGTGTGGACTCCATCAGCTGTAGCAGCTGGCTGGTAACCCATACCGACCTCTGCATGACTTATTAGACGGACAAGCTTTCTCTAACATCTCTTACCTGCTGACAGCATAGGTCACGAACTTGGTGCTTTTTTTTTACCTGATTGAAGCATTGATTCTGCTTTACCAGCTTGTGAGGACATCAGAGTGACCGATATGTTAGGTTAATTGCAAAGTATAATAAGTATAATATCTTGTTAATTAATTAATTAATTTTTTTCATTCTTTCCTTTACATTTGTCATGTGTTTGTGTGCTATCTATAGTCGTAAACCAGGAGGGACAGCCTTTGATCGAGGGGAAGCTGAAAGAGAAACAGGTTCGCTGGAAGTTCATTAAGCGCTGGAAAACCCGCTACTTCACCTTGGCGGGAAATCAGCTCCTTTTCCGGAGAGGCAAATCGGTAGGTAGACACTGAAAATGAACCCTAACACATAAACATACACCTACGCATGGTCCCGTCCTCTCGCTTATAAAGCTGTCAGTAATCTTACTATGTCTCGTGTGATTTAAATCATGATGAAACTGTATGAAACAGTGGAAATGGCACCTCAGCAGGAGCATCTGATGAATCCAGCTATAACAAATCTTGGCCCTGCTAAGGACTCTTGGGGGAGGGGCGGGACTCGCAAAGACAAAGTGTGATGCTACAAAAACATGACTTACTTGCAGAAATGGTTATGCACAAGTAGCTCAAGGAGAAAGAGCCTTGAACGTGAAATACTGACTCTCATCTGAGTAAACGTGATCTCTCCCTCCTTGCTTTATCAAACACAGTTTATGGCAGTCATCTGCACAGGAGAAACTGTTATAGGGATCGCGTGTCATCTGGACTTTAGTCAGTGTTGTGTCTAAAATAGCAGCTCTCCAAATTAGAGGACAGCATAGAGGAGTTTATGGAAACAGGGGAATATTCATCTCTCTCCTGCTTCTTTTTGTTTTTTCCCTAACTTTAAACAAAAGTCTTTGTGCTCGGATCCAGATGGTAATGGAGTCTGCTGTTTTGCAGCCACCGCAGATTGGGAAGGTTTTGTGTCTTTGTTCTCAGAGCCCTGTCTGTCTCTGCCAGCAGGTTCTGGAGGTGGTTGGCATGTTGTGAAAGACGTTTTTTCCTGACGAGAACCAAAAAATATTTCCTTCGTACTGAACGATCAGGCAGCTTTGACTGTCAGACATGCATCGTACTCTGGTGCACAAGTAAAAGGAACAAGAAACCCCCCCAACATTTTTACATATAGGTTATGTGTGAGTCTGTGGCTCCACAGTGTAGTGGTTGACACGTGAAAAACCCCTATTTTGAAACTGGGGTGAAGGCATAAATTGCATCAGGAAATCTGTGGCAACGAAAAGGAAGCAGCCGGAAGGAAGAAACTGGTTATAGTGGATTTGAAGTGTGCATACTCTGTCACATCCTAAAATGCATTCATGGCCCAACAGCTGGGATGTGTGGAGGTTAAGCACATAGGTTCGTGTATCTCACACCTCATCCAGTTTACCTTTTGCCGTCTTTTCTGCAGCCAAAATTCATCAGTCGTGTTTTATATGAAGTCCACATCAACCTTTTAGAACAGAACCTCCAGTTCCTCATGTGTCACCTGGTACTCTGATCATCCACTGATCCCGAGTCTCTCTGTAAGCCAGACTGATCATGTGAAAGCTGACGTTGTTGCACAAATTAACATGTCTATATACCTCCAAAAACAGCTGCGAGATGAAAATGTAGGTAAAAATTAGGTACAGCCTCAATTTTGCAACAACGACATTTCTGCTGATACAGAGAAAAAAATTGTGAAGTAAGTTTCATTCATGCTTACAGCTCACAGGCAGCAGTATTTCCTAATCTGGAAAAACATGTCACGTGGCTGCCTTCTTAACTTAACACTACACCTATGTACTAGATATTTATAGCATGAAGATACATGGCTTCTTGAAATAGAGTAAACCTAATGCAATGTTTAAAATCTGCTGATTCTGAGGTCAGATGTGAACTTTTTTCCAGATTTAGTTGATTTTAAATTCCTCCGTATGGCTCAGATCAATCAAATGTCTGTTTGAATCCCCAGCAGAAAACACAGCCTGTGAACATGTCGACCCCAATAGCTTTTCAGCTCTCTCTCACACACACACACACACACTAAAGAAAGGATGTGGTAACTTGCCATGAGTCTGCACCCATATTTGGTTAAGTGGTTGTAACCGCTTAACCAAATATGGGGGTAAGAAGACATGGCTGTGTTGCAATATGCACACAAACTTACCAGCTCATACAATTCAAATGGCCCTTACCGTAGGTGGGTAAAATACAGAAAGGAGGGGACTGAGGAGTGGGAGGACTGTAGAAATTCCAGTGCTTTCTGTTGCAGGAGGAGAGCTGGCCACTTCTACCTACCGGCAACCTCGCGAATCACCTCTTACTAGCAGGATGTGTTTGATCGTTACAGATGAATTAAAGCACTTTGAAATCAGTTTCTGATTCTTTGTGATTCTTTTATCTCCTAGTAAAGTATTTAAAGTCACTGTGTGTCCTCCCCACAGAAGGATGAGCTGGATGACATCCCGATTGAGCTGAGCAAGGTGCAAAGCGTCAAGGTGACTGCCATCATCCCTCAGAACGCTTCCATCACTTACCCATATCCTCACCACTGATCACCATCAGCGCTACTTACACCTCTGTCAGTTTGAAGCTAATATATCATCTGACCTAAAGGTCTAAACTCTTCCCAGGATTCAGAGCTAAGCAGATCAGCTTGACAAGGATAAATAAGCTACTATAAATATGATAGAAGAAACCAACATGAAGCCAAAACACATTTTTTTTAAAAAGACAGCAGCTCTCCTCCAAACGAGCTAGATGATGAAGTCATCTTGTCTATTAATCTTCCCCACCCACTTGTTCTGTTTGCAGGTGGTAGCCAAGAAGCGTCGGGACCGGGGTCTGCCGCGCGCCTTCGAGATCTTCACCGACAGTAAAACGTACGTGCTGAAGGCTCAGGATGAGAAACACGCTGAAGAGTGGCTGCAGTGCATCAACGTGGCTGTGGCTCAGGCCAAAGAGAGGGAGAACAGAGAGACCACCACCTACCTGTGAGAGCGGCACCGACCGAGACGGCGGCGGGGACGCGAACGCGCAGCCAAACATACGCTGACTTCCACATGTAGGATATTTGTTTCTTGTAAGCATTTACAAGACGGGGGGATAAAAAAAACCCCAGCAGGTGACTCTGAGAAGAAAAACTAAGCGCACTGCTAGTAACTTGTCAATAGCACCACCAGCTCTGTCTTCAGTCGTAGTAATGATGGAGCGCAAATAAGAAAAAGGATTTTTAGACATTAAACCAGCAATAAAAGACTAATGAAGGATGGTTACGTATCAAAAACACGACTCCCTGTATTTACCATTACGTTTAACCAACCTGCCCGTGTGCCATGCTTCTCGGCACGTAGGCCGCCATCAGCGATAGCAAATGTTTGCTTTACGTGTTCAGATGTCACCTGACTTTTCCGCTTTGCTCCTACAAGCAAACGAAGCAGGCATCAGTGGGAAGTTGGGATTTCTCCGTTTAATGACACATTTAGAGTCCAGAGTAGTATTCAACAATAAAGACTTCATCAAAGCAAAGACCTCATAAGGAGTTGTAGCAATAATGAGACTGAACAGTTCCTCTGGAAAGCAGGAAGGATGAAAAACGAGCCTAATGGACAGCAGATGGGGAGCACATTGGATACTGGAATTGTGTGTGTGTGTGTGTGTGTGTGTGTGTGTGTGTGTGTGTGTGTGTGAAAGAGAGAGTGAGTGATCTTAAAGGAATAGTTCAGCACTTTGCGATATATGCAGTCACCTTCCTGCCAAGAACTGGAAGAGATGATTCAGGCTGCTTTCATGTAGCTGTGTGAGTCAAGTGAAATGAAGCTAAAGCTTAGTGTAAAGACTGGAATTTGAGTTTGACTAGTCTGGCTATGACTAACTCCTGGTAAGGGGGTGGCAGCCGGGGACAGCATATTTCCTCAAATGTCAAACAGGGCCAATAATAGGATATGTTTAACTCATTTTGTGTCATGTATCCTGCTGTATTCTGTTTTTTTCATCACTAACCGGGTTTTTCCTAGCTTAAACGGGTCGGGAGCAGCGTCAGCACAGCTGTTGCCTAATAGTGGAGTTTGGATCACAGGTTTCTAAGAAATCACTGAAGCAAATGAGTGGTTTCCTTGTGGATTTAGAAAGGTTGCCAGTTGAGTCACACTGATTTTCAATGACTCTGCGAGAGAGAGAGTGGAGGTGAGCTGGCTTACTTTAGAACAGGCCTGTTCCTCGGGTTTGGGTTTAAAAGCTTGTGTGATTTTATTATTTTATTTTGGGGGGAAATGTGTCATTAGATTTTTATTTTTCTCCCTGAAAATTGAGACGGATGGATGAAGAAAGAGTGAAGATGTGAGTGTTTAAATTGGCTCTAACTGATAGTGTGCACCAGTTGAACTTTGACAGACAGGTATTCACTCTCTCTACCCACAGGTGAATGCTGCCTTAGCACTTTTTGAAGTTATATGTAACATTAAAGCTGCTAAAGGTGGTCTTAATTTGAACTCGTTTGACAGACGAGCTCTCTCTCGTCGGTCTTTTGGCTAAACCCCTGTCAGCTGTGTAAATGCAGCCATAACACAGCCTTTCCCACCAGGTCAGGTTACCCGTTTGTACTTTTAGCTGTCCCTGTTACCCCCACCACCACACACACAGCAGAGCTGACCTGCATCTGCTTACAAATCATATTATTTACATCATGTCTCTCCCTCACATTTTTATTCCTTCCTTCCTTCCTTCCTTCCTTCCTTCCTTCCTTATGACCTACTTACACACATGACTTTGGGCCCTAAAGCCAGTGGGGTATTCCCCCATGACTGCACTTAAGTTTTTATAAAAATTAATATTTACATTCATTGGGGTACGGCAGCATCTCAAGAAACTGTGGACAGAAAGGAATTGGATAATCTTGGTCCTAGATGAATGAAACCTACTGATTCCGATTGCTGACAATCAGGATGGATACAGCCTACCATCTTGTTTCTGACCACTATCTTCACATTTAATCACTAATAATTATTAAACTCTGGCTTTCACACCGATAGTTTGCCTTTTTGTCCCATCTCCCACCAATCACCCCCAACCAGTAGCTGCAGATGCCTGGCCTTCTTTGAGCCTGGTCCTGTTGGGGCGTTCTTCCTGTTAAAAGGGAGTTTTTCCTTCCAATCGTTGCCATGAGCTTGCTCAATTGACTGTGTGCACGTTAGGATATGCTACTTCCGGTGCGGAAACTCCTGTGGGGAGCTTTGTTTCCGGTGTCCTATTCGCGCCTGGTTTACGATCCAAAACGCGTTAATCAAGTGAATGAATCAAGCGGCGATTTACATTTCTATAGATGTCTTGGGCATTTACCCAATATGTCTGTAAATGATGTTCATCGACTTGTCGATATTTTTTCCCCGCACCTCAGGGCAAAAGAGAAAAGGGATTCAAATGTTATATTTCTCAGCTGTCCCTCGTTTATCGCGGGTGTTATGTTCTAAAAATAACCAGCGATAGGTGAAATCAAGAAAGCCAATTTTATTTTTTGACGGTGCAAAACGTTTCCTGGACATACAGTACTGCTCTTCAGAGTCACACTGCTAGCGATCGATGCAGCGATTCTGTACTGTACAGGAGAGACGTCACGGAGGAGATCGTCTGCAGCGATCGGGACGCAGGACACAATGTAACGTAAAAAAAATAAGCATGCAAACTTGCACTAAAAAATCTGCGAAACAGCGAGGTGAAAGGTGAACCGCGTTATTAGCGAGGGACCGCTGTAATTTTGAAGGTAAGTCAATAGGGGGTTGTCTGATTGTTGGGGTTTTCTCTCTATTATTGTAGGGTTGCTTTATACTTTACAGTATAAAGTGTCTTGAGGCGGCTGTTGTGATTTGGTGCTATATAAAAGTTTTTCCTGACTACATTTGAGACAAAGTGTTATGCTATTAGATATCATTATTATATTCAGCACCTCTGCTGACCTGCTGTATTGTAAAGGTTTCATAAAGCTCTTGCTCTTTTTAGTTGAACAGTGTTGATTTGTGTTTAAAGTGAATGTGTTATAACATGAATGCCAGAGTTGTGTTAAAGTAGCGATATCAGCTGTCAGTGCTGCCATGGTGGCTTAGTTTCCAAATCTCTATTCTATCTATCTATCTATCTATTAGGGGTGCAACGATACTTGTATTGATATTGAACCGTTTGATACAGTGCTTTCGGTTTGGTACGCATATGTATCGAACAATACAAAATTTTTTAGTTATTTTATCAATTTTCCTTCTGACGATGCTGTCTGTGTTGAGCGTTCAGTGGATCTGCGTTCGACTACTCCGCCTAGGCTGCACTGTCGAGTGCTGATCCACTAAGCGCAGCGGAAGCTAGCAAGACAGAAGCTAAGCTCGTTGCAACATGGCAAATTGAACCTCCCCCACCCTCATTCAGATCTGGCCTTTGGAACCATCTTGGTCTTCATGTGAAGCATGACCCTGAAGGTAAGCGCGTCATGGACAAAAGTAAAACAGTATGTCGGATGTTCCACGCAATGCTCAATTTGTGGGAACTAGTGCGTTAGCGCAATTAGCCCGTTAACGGGGCGTCCAGCCCCACTCATGGGGCGATCCGCGGTAACTTGTTAACGGAGATTTGCCGTGTTGTGGCGTTAACGTCATTTCAATGAGATTAACGCTGACAGCACTAGTGTGAACACAACAAATATGACTGCACATTTACACAGACATCCTAGTGCAAAGACAAGTGGAAGCAGACAAAAACAACAAGCATGCATGCTACAAACTTTACCCGTCATTTAGACAGCTGTTAGCACACGATTCTCCTCATGGGGACCTGATATGTTTAATATGCTGCTGAGAATATAGCCCAGAAGAAGCGTATAGTATAGCTTTTATTTTGAAAAGAGCCATTTCTCTGTAATAAACTCTCTTTTCCAAAGATGAGCGATTTCTCGATCAGATAGATTTATTTTTTTTATTTTGTTTCAGCAACATTAAATTTAAAAGCTGTACTTTTGAGCTGAAATATATATTTATAATTTTAATAAATGACAAATTAAAAAGGCATGAACATTTTTTTGTATCGAAAAAATATCGAACCGCGACACCAAAGTATCGAACCGAACCGTGAATTTTGTGTATCGTTGCACCCCTACTAACTATCTATCTATGAAGCAGGATGGAAACTGCTGTAGATTTTTAACAATCACACAAACTGTGAAGATGATTATAAGTATTCCAGTGAATGTATAAAAACATTAGCATTAATATCAGCCTCGTGTGGCGAATCATAGATGTTTGCTGTTGTTTTTTCTTGCTTTTAACCTTTAGCATGTTGTTCGATTGCATTTGATTGTTTTTATATAATGTCAGTATTTATTTTTACAGGCATTTAACACTTTTATCGTGTCTGGAAAGACGACTGAAACTACAAATGCCAGATTTTACTTTGTCTCCTCCTCGTCTTCCTCTTCTCTTGTTTTATATTACTCTGAATTAACACTGCAAACAAATGAAAGCTGTATTCTATTTGAAAATTCAACAGTTATTGTTGTGATTGTCATATTTTGCCTGCTGCACCTTCTGCATGCCTGCCTATCAGACAGAGCGCTGTAATAAATCTTTACAATAACTGAACGCCGTGATCGTCGCTGAATTTTTGTTTGTTTGGTTTTTTTTGCTCTTCAGTCAGGAAAGAAGTTAAAGGTTTCCTTTACAGAAACACCGTCCAAACTCCTGGATGTCATTACATTATCAGTGTAAATTACACTCGGGCTCTCACTTTAAAGATGCTGTAACTTTAGTAAGACCCTCAGTACGTGCAGAAAGAAACACGTGGGGAGAAAATAGGATAATTACCAAAGTTATTCCATAATCTTCATTCCTCGAGACACATTTCTCATGCAGGAACGAAACTGGACCACCTCAATCACGAGCTTTGGAGATGACTCGGTGTGAAGCGTTAGGGAGCACTTGGCAGCGTGGCTGTAGGATCTGACACAGCACAGTGCATGTCAGAGCTGGTAGCAGTTACATATAATAATCAAATTCAGATCAAGCTCAGTTAAACTGCAACAAATCATTTCTGACAGCTGGACGTTTTGAGTGAGCCGGGCTCAGCTTGTGATGCACTCTTTCAGTTGTTTATTCGTACTATAAACACATAAGTAACCACAGTGACTACTGATCTGAAGCCTCTTTGCTTGGAGTACAGCGTGTTACAGGACTATCTGTGAATCACAGAGAATATCATGTCAGTCCTGTAAGTGACCTCCAACACCTTATCTCGCTTCATAGCGATTTTTCTGCGGGGCTGGTGGAAAAATACTGCCTTTCTCACCATCCATCTCGATGGAGCACCACTAACGTCCATCATCAGGAATTCTGACATACTCGGTAGTCTCCATCAGCTATCTCTTCAACGAATACCTGCACGTTTTACAAATCACCATAATGTGACTGATAACACATGCAGAGAGCTGCTGTCCTAGCAGGAAAAAATGTATTTAAAACCATTAATGGTGACTGAATACCACCTGCTGACTCTCTACAATGACTCATCATTAATCCTGCTTAAAAACAGACCCTAAATAGTTAAACTTTGCTCAATCATGGCAACTATGACAAACATACATAGCAAAACCTTCTGGAATCCCTTTTTGTTTGAGTTTGAAGTATCAGCTGTGGCTACAATTAAACTCGTTTGGCCTTCTTACATTAAATCTCTTAATCAGTGTTTTAGGATATTCAAGTGAGGACACATGGAAAGCTGTATAACACTGAAACTTAAGGCCTACAGCACCCCCTGGCTGCCATAAATGTCACTTTTCCTCCCAGTTTCTTTTTAACCTTCATGTGTACCGTGCCTCCAACTCAAACTAGCAGGATTAAACCGTTTGCATCAGATGTATTCCCAACTGTTTGAGTCCATGCATTTCAGATCATAGCTTCAGTTTACCCTCCGATCAGCTGAGACTTCACTGTCTCCACTTAAGGCAACAATACAAATCAAACAACGGCTCCTGCCACTAGAACCAATGCTTCTTTGTTTTTGTTTTTTTTTTTTACACCAGGCACAAATTCAATAAAGGAGTGTACAGGTCAGTGGCATAGCTCATTTATTACTGAATAAAAATTGGACATGAACACGTGCAGACTAAAAACCAGTGTAACAAAACTGACAACCCTAAAATCTTTTTGCAGCAAATCTGCACTCCCTGCTGGGAGGTCAAAAAATAAAAAATAAAATAAAAAGTCAAATAGACAGTACTCTTTTGAAACTGTACAAAATACAGCATCAGCCACATATCTGTTCAATAAAAAAAAAAAAGAAAACAAAGACTGTGCAAACATTTTGATCTTTCCTGAATGTTTATTTTACATTTATTCTTCAGTACGTCCACTGAGCCATTTGCTTTTATAAATCAAAGCATTCACATTTTGTCAGTGGTCATCAATCCGTCTTTACACTGTAAATAATTTCCCCCCCAAATGTCCATAACATTATATGTAAAACTAAAAAAAAAAAAAGAGGGGGGGGAACAACAACAAGAGGGGGCTGGGTTGGGTAGGCTAGATGGTTTGTCAGGATATATGGTTGGGTCTGGAGCTGATGTCACACTACAACCTTGCCTTTGCCAGTCTGGGCAAATGTTTAAAGGTAATTGTAGAGCACCTCATGGTGGTGGTCACAGCTGCAGTGTGCATGTAGACGCAAAACCATCAACCACCCAAGATAAATGTCAGCTACAGATCTGCTGCTCTGTAGGAGACTCAAAGCAACCCGATTCCATCAAAGACATTTGTACATGAGACACGTGGTGACATATCTGGCTCCACTGTTTCCACTGAGATGAATCATAATGCTGGGCAGATGTTTTGTGACTTCAACAAAATTTGAAAAATTAAAATCAACTTTTATACGCTGATGGTCTGACGCCAGGTGTGTATGAGAAACCCAGCAAATTCAGAGGAAGGACCCCTGCTGGTACACAAAATGGCAAATCCAATTAAACGTGTTTTCAGTCACGGCAGCTTCGACAAGGTTTTTGAAAATTTTTGGTCTTCAATAAAGCAAGGTACAAGAATCTTTTCTGTTACATGGATGTTTGGTTAACTTCTGTTTTACCTTCTGCACAAATATTAAATTTAAACATCAATCTGTCAGTTCAGAGGGCGCGTCTAATTTGATTTGCATATACTCAAAGTACTCATGTGACCATCAGCCCCAGAGCCTGAGTGGGTCGGTTTGGGTCTCAGCGACGGTGGCGGCTGTGTCCCGAGTGCCCACTACTGCTGTGGTGTTTGCTCTTGTGGCTACGCTCCCTCTCTCTGTCCCTGTCGTAGGATCGGGACCGCTCCCTGTCCCTCC